TAAATTGCTGTCATTTATAGTTATGTATAGTGAGTTATACTTCTAGATTCACTTTATAAACTCACTTGTTTTTATCGTGTTATACTACATGTATTTTTTGAGCCCCCTGAAATCTATTTTTTAGCAAAAGAGGTTTAAATATGTTAGTATAGTACTTGATAGTCCATGAAGTATCTGTACATGTCATTTGATGTCCATGGCCGTCTTGTGAGGAGACAGTTGTTCCTTCATATGCATGAGCACACTGGGGCTTTGACAAGTTATTGGCTTATGAGAGGTCGCCCTAAAAGTGAAGGACAAAGGCAGGAATCATGTTGTCACTCCACCTCTATGCCCAGAGCTCTTGCGCCTTGACTTCTGCTTTGTCTCTGGCAGGGCCTTGGACACTGGGGCAAAGTGACAGATCTTCAGTTAGGGAACCAACATAGACCCCCGTCAGGTATGAACCAGTTTCCATTCAATTTCTTTTTTTTTTTTTTTTTTTTGGTTTTTCGAGACAGGGTTTCTCTGTGTAGCTTTGCGCCTTTTCCTGGAACTCACTTGGTAGCCCAGGCTGGCCTGGAACTCACAGAGATCCGCCTGGCTCTGCCTCCCGAGTGCTGGGATTAAAGGCGTGGGCCACCACCGCCCGGCTCCATTCAATTTCTTAATGTTTAAAAGAATATGAAAATATATTGAAAACTATTCTGAAAGATTAATGTCCCATGGTTCTGAGCAACACAAACTGACTTTCCAGGGAATCTGAGAAAGTTGTAAAAGATGTAGACAAATCCCTATCCAACTGCTAAGGGTTAAAATGCACTCCATCGACTGTTTTCAGAAAACAGACAGTGCCTGGTAGTTTTCTTTTGGCAAACTATGAAAACTATAAATTGGCTAGACTGACTTTAATGGGTATTTACTCTCAGTTTGCCTCAAGTCCAGGTGTGATCTCCATTAATTATTTTGGCCCTTCTGTTTGGGGACTGTGGGTGCTAAGCACAGGTCTGGCAGTTGGAGAGAAAAAGAATTAGTAAGGGAACCATTAAGACAGGAAACCCCACTCTCTGTGTCTATAGGATCGGTTTGTTGCTGGCCCAGAAGAGACAAATAGATAGTGGCTAAGCCCAGGGAAATGGAGAGGCAGGCCTTTGGGAAGGACCTAGAGCCACCAGCAGTCACTTCTGCTGCTTGGTTCTAGCCTTGACTTTCTGTGGAATGCAGATGCCTTTGGCAGAAACTCCTGAACCTGCCAGAGTGTTTTAGTATGCTGTTTCCTCCCATACAGTGGCAGGAGGGAAGCCATTGATCACATCAGATCCCTGCAAATTCCCCAATTTCCTGTGGGAATCATGGGAGTTCCTATTTTCCCATACCTCTCTCTACCCATACAGATATGGTACTAAGACAAAAACTAGGCTGCCACCCAACCAGATACCCATCCCCTGCCTCATCTGCACAGTCTTTCCCTCTCCAAATCTGAGGAAACAAAATTAGATGAAAAAAATATTCAGCTCAAGATGAAAGATCCATTTTTGTTTGGCTTTTGCTCGGGTATAAAAAACAGACACATGAATCGTCTGGTTGGGTTTATAATGTTGAGACTCGTTGCATGCATTCATCCTATTCATTTTTATTTGAGTCATTTTTATTTAAAATGTTATTCAGTGAAATTCAACATCTAAAAGTTTATCTACGCTACAGCCTTGCTGTTTGTCATAAAGAAGGTCACCATGCAGCTTACATTTTCAGAAGACAGATCTGGGATGCAGCGGCACCTGAGCATTTACATGTCAAGTGTGTGCAGGCTTTGGAAGCCTCCTAGGAGAGCTCCCTGACACACCTGGCGAGGCTGGAACCTGAGCTCCTCTCCTGGCTGCTTCACATCACACTGATGTGGCACACAGGGGAGGCTTGGACTGAGAACAAAACACTCTGCTCAAGAATTTACATTGCATGGTGACCACATTCAGGAAATCAACAAAAGCAAGTGAAACCACACAGTGGCATGGATTTCCCAGCCCTCTTTGGGCTTTTTCAGAGGACAAGAATATATAACCAGCTTTGCAGTGAAGTGTTTGGCTAGGAATGATTACTCATATTACCCCAAATGTTTATGATCAGAAGTAGCACATGAATAATATGTGACTTTTCTTTAAGACCATTCAACCCAAAAGATTTCCAAGCATGTCACATGTCACTTTTTTTTTTCCAATGATGGGCATTCGGCCAATTGGTTCACTCATTGCCTGGATAAAGTGGGGAGAAAAAAGTGCTTAGGCAGTCACTAAGCAAATAGTTGAGTTCCTAAAATATATTTGATTTTGCTAGTCCTGGATAAACTGCACTTGCTTTCCTGCTTAGATTAGTCATGCAGGCTGAGCCTTATGACACTGCTCCTGCTACTGGGCGAATCCCATTCTCCTTGTGAGAACTGAGGCCATCACTTAAGAGCCCACTCAGGCCCCATCTCTGTAAAGCTTTCTCCTCTGCCTTTCTTGTATCCATAACCCAGAGAGTGAGTTCACTCTGAGGATGATTTGTGCACTCACCTTATTTGTGGCTATAGGAAATCAGGTTGTGTGGAAGGTGCTATGCTCACTTCAGATTGCCTTCCAGATTCTGGTTGTTGAGTTGGCTCCACAAGGCTACTCCTACCATTTGGTAGGTTCCAGTGCCGCCCGAGTGTGCATGCGTGCACACAGTAACTCTCTGTAAGTTTCAGGTAACTCAAACCATGCATATGTGCTGCTCATTTTCCTCTGGGCTCATCAGCAACAACTCTGAGCCCTTGCAGTGAAACACAGATACAATTAAAGGTCTCTTCCTCCTGCGTCTTCTGTGGTCAGGGACTGTCTTAACACTGCAGAGACACTCATAGCCTCAGACCCGGGTGCCATGCTTCCTTTTAGACCGCTGAGCCTGTCTTGGTCTCAGTTCTGCTTGAAATCTCCTGTGGAACAAGCTAGAGTACAAAGAACTGAAGGAATTGTCTGGGAACAAGTAAGTCTCATCTGAGATTCAAGAAACAAACAATTACTTAGTAAGCGGCAGGCTGAGTGCTGAAGTGAAATGAAGAGTTCTGTGTGAATGTCCCAGGTTTTCTGACCTCCTTCACCTGCTTGACATCTTTGCTGACCATGCCTCGGTTTTCATTTGAAATATATTTGTATCTGAGACAAACAAATCCAGGAAGAACCTTTTCATAAATTATCTCAAATGTCTCTAAATATTTTGATTATTTACACACAGCTTGTGTTTACATGACAACAAGGAAGCCTTTCATCAGGAAAGCATCTAGCAGGAACATATGCTTGTGGGCAAACATTTTGACAAAAACCGTCCTAGGCTTTTTTTTCCCCATTGAAGAGAGTCTTCCAAATGAAGGTCCCAGCCAGGTTGCCTGTGATCGAACACTAGCCTATCCTGTCTTGCCTGTGGCCCTGACCTCCTGTTTTGTGCCTCACCTAACAGAGAGAGTCATCCTTTATCACCCTAGAGGAGTGGTTCTAAAACCCCTGCAGATCCCAAAATCTGTGGATACCAAAGCCCCTCCTATACAATGGCATGGTATTTGTCTATAACTACACATATCTTCCTAGAAACTTTAAATGACCTGTAGACTATGGTAATACCTAATACAATGAAAATGCCAAGTGAATAAATGTTTGTTACATTGAATAGAGAGTAGTAATGATATAAAAAGTCTCTGTGTGTTCAATACAGATCATTTCTTTTTTAATATTTTCCAGCCATGTTTCTTCATGTGGAATCCACTAATCTGGAAAGTCAACTCCTTCTTTTAATTTTGACTTTTTTTGGGGGGACGGGGGGTGGGGGGGCCGGGGGACGGGGTCTCACTATGTAGCCTTGGCTGGCTTGAAACTCATTTTGCAGAACATGTTGGCCTCAAACTCACAACAAAGATCTATCCTACCTCTACCTCCCAACTAAATTTTTATTTGTGTGTGTGTGTGTGTGTGTGTGTGTGTGTGTGTGTGTGTGTGAGAGAGAGAGAGAGAGAGAGAGAGAGAGAGAGAGAGAGAGAGGGTGGGGGGCTGATAATTAAAATAATTTTATATTCCTTTCTCTCTTTTTTGGAAGAGTGGGCATGTGAGGTAGGGTTTCTCTGTGTAACAGCCCTGGCTGGTCTGGAACTAGCTTTGTAGACCAAGCTGGTCTTGAACTCAAAGATCCAACTACCTCTACCTTCTAAGTGCTGAGATTAAAGGTGTGCACCGCCATCTCTGGCTTTTATCTCTTTCAAAAGAAAAACATTGTTTTAAAACTGTGTCTTTATCTAAGCACAATAACATCTGCAGTTTTGGCTGTGGGGTAGGTCTGCTTAAGTGAGCTTGCATCTGGGGAAATAAAAGCAGGAGTTAGGTACTCAAAGCCAACCCCGCTTTTGAAAGCCTACTCCAGTGTTCCGCACCGAGGCGAACTGGAGTCAGTGCCTCGGTTAGTTCACCTGTGCGCAGGGCAAGCACTGCGGACCGGCAGCACTGTTCTCGCTGTGCCAATACGTCTGTGACAAATGTCAGTTCCTAGAAAAAGTATAGTCATGAAAGAGGATCAGCAGTCAACTTATACACAAAGAGAAGCAAGCATCTGTGGGATTCCACCATTCCTGAAAAGCCATAGTTGATTAAAAAGCATTTTAGGACCCTGGCAAAAACAGAACCAGAAAATACTGTAACTTACAATATTTTTTTCAATTTGTGCATTTGCATTTTTTCATTCCCACCTAAGAAAGAAAAATCTTACTAGATTTGGTTTTGGCCTCTGAAGTCATTCCACTGAGAATCTTGGTCCAGTTTCTAATAGTAGCTGTAATTTGTAAAAACCTAGTAAGAATGGAATATGAAGATAATGGGCTCCGTCTGAGGAATTGTTTTAGCAGAGATTTCATATGCAAGACTAAATGCTGATCAACAGAGCATAATATTGTATTCTGAAGTGTGTGGGGAAAGCAAAATTAATTTTTTTTTCTTCTTTCCTTCTCTCACAATGTACCACAGCGACTGCATTTGCCTCCAGACTTGTCAGACACAGTGAGCCGTTCAAGCAAACAGGATCTGGCAGACTCCGCCACGCTGCTGGGCCCAGGCTGTGGCATGATGGCCGGAGGCAAGAAGCACCTGGACTTCTAGGGAATCCTCCTTAGTAACTGCATGCGGAATTATCTGACACCCTAATTATGATTGCAAATAGCTTATGTAAATATTTTTCTTAATGATTTGACCCTCCAGTCTTTGAAAAACATGGGATTTCAAACGGAGTCACCGTTCTTCAGTTTGGGTTGTTTCATTGTTTGTTTTTTCCACCAAATTTTGTACAAAAACAATAGAGCAGAAATACCATCATTTGACATTTAGCTGCTGTTGTGTATTTTAAAATACTAATTAATTTTTAAATAAACACCAAAAAAATTCCCCAAAATATGATGTGCCTTAGAGTGGTCATTGGTTCATGTGGACTGGAGCGATGGAGTGATGGTGTCATGAATGATGGTGACAGACATGCTCACCCACAGAGTATAGAACAGGAATTCAAGTTGTGTGGGATACATTGCTCTGTGTTTCTGAAGAAGTCACCAAAAACTGCTAAGCCTTTTTTAAAGAATGTTCTGTTTGCATTTGTGCATCCTGCTATTTCAAGTGATGAAGACCAAACAGCCGTATTTGGGGGATTTTGTCTTAATTAGCCCACACAATAGTACACACAGAGCCTGATGGACTGCACAAAAATAGCTGGGTGGACTGCTGTTCTAAAGTTCTAAATAATTGACATCAGTTCTGTGAAATTATTTCAACAGACAGAATTCAAGATTGAAATTCAAGCTGGCAGCTCCACTAATGCTGGGGTCCCAAAGATGTGTCCTGAAGCCCGGTGAGCAGGTTACAGAACGAGGGTCTAAGACACGTGAAAACCTGAAAGGAACTCAGACTTCCATTGTGTCACCTCAACCCGTTGTTGACCACGAGCATTGGCTGAGCATGCTAATGAATCTCTAACCATGTAACATGTCTTGGGAACACAGCATATGGAACAAGTTTTCATAGCACGCACTAGGGTTTGGTGTCATAGGTCCATATTTTTGAAGGGTTTGACAAATCATAGGTACAAAGTGAAAGTTAAAAGGCAACTTGCATGTATTTAAAGACTCAAGTTTTTTAAAAAGATGTTTAACATCTGTTGGCAGAAATCGAGTTTCCAAAATACATTTTCAAATAAATTAGAATATTTTGAAGCACCTTTAACTAACATTTTAAGCAGTTTCCTTTTAATATACCACAAATTATACTCTATTTGCTCTTGACAACATTGTAGAAAACAAAGACTAGGTTTTTAAAACTGTCTAACCAATATGATGAATGTCAGTCACTTAAAAAAAAAAGCCCACTGTAGCATAAACACACACTGTATACAGCTCTTATTCAGAATTAGAATAATTGAATCAATGACAGTGATTTGCCAGGATGTCAAATCTCTCCATCATACCCTGTCACTACCAGTTTATTTTTTGTGATAAAATCAAAAAGACAACTATTTTGTCACCACGACTTCATTAGCACTAAAAAAAAATCAAGTTGATTCTTTTTTTTTTTTTTTTTTAGAATGTCTGGTTTATTTTTTTCATACCTTTTAATTCTAAAGACGCAAATTCTTCCCCATTTTCTTTTCAAAATAAAGTTTCAGAATTGATCTGTCAGTTAAAATTAAAGGGCTTTTATATTGAGGAGAGGTACTTTTAAGATTTAAAACAACTTCAAAAAATTGATTTCCTCCCTAGATAATAAATCATGCTGCACAGGTGTCCACAAAAGCCCAGCTGTCCTTTAACAGATAGTGAATAAACTGAAGTGAATGTTTGATTGTTATAATAACTAACCTTTCTCTTACCCTGTTGTGACTCATTTTACACAAACACACAACAGCACAATTATATGGCTTTTGACTGGAAAGAAAGTGTGAAGCCATCAGATAAGTAAATTGCTTACAAAATACTTAATAGATCATTGGTTTGCTTTGCTTCTTGGCTATAGCTATAAAATTAACAGTCAACTACTAGTAGATATGCACTTTACAAATAGATAAATGCCCTAGAAATTGAGTAAGCATATTTGAACCCTTAGTTTAAACAGAAATTAAACTTTTCAAACTCTTAAATAAATAGAGTAGCTGGCTTTCCAAAAATACTACATCCACCACTTTGTTTCTCAGATTTCCTCAGCATATTTTAATAATAATAATAATAATGATGATGGTGATGATGATAAAGCTACTGATATTGGAAAGAGATGTATGGTGCTATTTTCTTTTGTTTTCCTCTGATAAAAACCCATTCTAAAAATATGTCTTTCTTCATCTGGAAATTATTCTCTATTACCCCAATAACTTCCTACATGAAACTATTGTTTTTCAAATGCTAACATATAATATATCTCTATATATTATATGCTACTGTATATATGCATGTACTTCTAATGTATTATGAAATGTATACTCTATTCATAGATTTTTACTTGTCTGGAATATAAATACTTAACATTGTCAAATAGAATATCTGTAATATCTCTATATCTTTTCAATGTTTCCAGTGCGTGAACCCCAAAGCCCTTTGTGGTAGTCCTAATCCTTGTGCTAGATCTGCCTTTCTTTAACATGAGGTCAATATTTTGACTCCTGTAGATTGCTCAGGTATAGGGCTCTGAGACTCTCTGGATTTCTTGTTAATAGCCACTGAATGAGATCACTTTTCTTATCTTGTTTTCATTTTTCTTATCTTGTTTTTTACTTATTTTTTAGCACTATGCCCAGGACTTTCCTGTACTAACACCAGAACAGATGAAAATGCTTCAAAAGCAAGGGGTATTCTGCTGTTGATTCCCTGTCTTTTCATTTCAATGAATGGGACATACGCATACACCTACAGCAAGGGTGTGTGGGGAAACCCATATCGATTAAGACCATTATTAATGTCATCTCTAAGACATCATGTTACTATGTTCCGAAGATAGTCACCATTAGCAGTATTCGAATTAAGCAATATAAACTCTAAAGATTTACACTTTGAACTTGAAATATGAGCAGTTTAGTCATGTATGACCAAGGCCAAAAAAAAGTTATTGAAAATCAGAATAATGTGTATTTGCCATCAATCAAATCAATATAGAGACTACCTCCTCAAGAAAAAGACACTTTTTCTGGAGAGCATTAAGGCCCAGAACACGAAGACATGAATGGAGATGATCAGTGCTATCCTGTGACAGCAAATGCTTGCAGAACAAAGCTAAGTGTTAATACCATAGATGTAATTTTTAGGAAACCCAATGATCTTTCATTTAAGCAGGAAGAGGAGATGATGTAAGCACCGTTGAGAAGCCAGTTGTTCACCACCATGTAAGAGTTGTTGGAAGGTACAGCTTTGGGGGAGGGGAAATCCTTGGAATTTCATCGAAGTACAAAGCAAAGTTGTTTTCACCTACAGCAATGGTTCTCAACATGTGGGTCGAGACCACTTTGGAAGTTGAATGACCCTTTCACAGGGTTCATTCCTGCATATCAGATATTTATATTGCAATTCGTAACAGCAGCAAATTACAGTGATGATAGAGTAACAGCCATAATAAAATTATGGCTAGGGATGGGTCACCACAACCTGAGGAACTGTATTGAAGGGTCGCAGCATTAGGAAGGTTGAAAACCACTCATCTAGAGTGATTGAACTCTCCATTCACCTGATGTCCCTAAGTCAGTCAAACCTTGAGATAAAATGTAAGCTGTTTGCACAGAGGATGTCATAAAACTTGGTCTTTGTCCTGGAAAATGGCACTAAAACATCTCTGCAGATTTTCCATTGCCAAATCTATAAATATACCTGTCAGTGAATCAACAAATGAAAATGATTACTGGGAGTTAAAAGCCAATTCCCGGGCACTGGGACCACACAGCCTAGGATACAGACAGCTAGCTCATCTCTCTAGGGTGCATGCGGGCAGAAGGCAAGGCTGTTCTTATCCTGTTCAACTAGAGGCTTCCACAGCTGAGCATCCCCCCTTCAGGATCTGCCAGGCTGGGCCACTGCGCCCTGGCAGTCTTGACCCTCTGAGGACTTGTATACGTGCCCAACTGCACACATCCAGACCCTCAGTTCTCACAGCACTCTCAGATCTTACACCCAGAATTCCATGTGCTGTTGTTCTCTGTAGTCTGTGTGCTCTACTCAGCAGAGCCATGGGCCAGCCCGGGCTGCCTGACCCCAGCCAAAATCACAGCCACTTGGAAACTGCTCTTTTTTTTTTTTTCTGAGGAAGAAGTAAGGCAGCCAGCAGTGGCTGCAACATAGCCCTTTTCTGACAGTTCCCTCAGCACACATCCCTCAGGGAATGGAGGCTGCAAAATGTCAGGAGGTGGAAATGTCTACAAGGGCCATTGTACCAATAGTGTATATATAGGTGCCAGCAGGCAGTGCAGGCTGACATGGACAGTGACCAAAAGCACACACACAAAAATGGCAAGCCAGTTAGAATGGCCTCTCCAAACATAAAGTAACTCTGCTAGACTAAAACCGATAGACCTAAGTGACCTGTCTGGAAGTAAGACCTTAAGTACCAAATGAGAGATGTTGAACTGCAGGGTCATATTGAAATCCTCAAATCATTTATTTCTTATCATTTGCCTTTGGGGGTTAAAAAAAAAATCAGAGTTCAAATCCATGGAAGTGTCTTTTCCCCCAGACATTTCTCCATGTTTAAATATTTTTAATCCAGACGGTCAGGGCCCACACACGCACACATTTTTCACTGAAGTTTACTGGAGAAAATACATCTACTTTGACTTAAGTGTTGCACAGAACAGACAGAAAATAACAGGCAGGCCTTTCTCTAACCAACAAAGGCTTATCTCGTTTTTTTCCATCCACTGTTGGGCTCAGGCACTCCTGCCCTGCGTGCTGCCACTTTAAGCATGATCAGATCTGTGCTCCTTTGCAAATAACAACTGACCAACAATGGGCCCTGCTTCGTAGATTTGGGAATGTTTGGCTTAAGCTGCCAGTGACTGAAGGCCTTGAACTCCCACCGGCCAGTCGCAGTCTGCTTTGTTGTTGTCTGTTGATGTGTCTGTGCTCATTATTCCTCGACATGCAACAGTCCCCCTCCACCCTCCAACCATCCACAGAGGCACAGAAAGCACGACTCAGATGGGAACAGCTTTGTAGGGGGGCAGTGAGACAGGATGCCTCTTGTGAAAGGGGAGGGAGACAGGACAGGGAGAAGGGTTATCTGAGAGAGGCAACAGCTTGTAGAAAGTCTCCTTGAAGAACTCAACCTTTGAATATACTTCAGTGAAATTACTGTGGAGATTGGCTGCCCAGTTTGAAAATGCCAGCTTCAATTCAAAACAAAACTCCTAGTGAATCACTTGTTGCGTTTTTTTAAAATTATTTCTACACTTTGAGCTTTTAAATGAAATAAATGGATAAACTGGAAATATTGCCATTTTTCTGCACATGTTGTGGGATGCAAGTCCACACAACTGTAAGTGATTTTTCTTTCCCCTGATACGTTGCCAACTTCTGATGTCTGTAAAACATCAGGCTATAAAATGGAGTGTGTGTGAACCTAAGCATTGATTTAGGATGTTAACCTAATGGGAAAACAAAATTTGTAACACCACACTATAAGGTTAAAAAGAAAATAGTGTAATAAAGAAAATACAAAGGCTTTGGCATGGTTTTTACAATCAACAATGGTTAATTTTGATATGTATTTGTGAACAACTGCAAAACACTTGGGTTTAAAACTCTTGCAAGCACTTTTAATTGATTAGGAATGAATTCTAGATGCACAAAATGATTGGACTGTGAACAGTAATACAGCTATATCTAAGAACAATTAACTTTTGCTGGCCAAGAAAGAAACAAATGATTGCATGAAAATGTGTATAAAACATCTATAGAGTATTCTTGTCAAATATAAATGAAATTAACTTTATTATAGAAATCATTCTGAGGATTTCTAGGGAAGACAAATACATTTTGACATAAAACAAATTGGATTATATCGAAGACACACTCTACCTTTAGCTATCAACTTCTCCTTGAATTTATATCTTACCCCTTTTTGCACATAAACGTCATCTGTTAACAACCTTTGGAAAACCAACAGATATTTCTTACATATATCTAGTGTGTGTTGTTCCAGGTTTAATTATATGCAAAGGAATGATACAAACTTGGAACATCAGTCCATAAACTATGAACAGATGGGTAGAAGTATTCGATATATCTCGATAAAACTCTTAAATCCATGGCAAATCTTGTCAATCATGGTTTCCTTTAAACAACCACATGAGCCAACACAGATCCAAGGTCCACCAGTCTGTGTTGTTCTTTTCTTCGTTATAACATACAAATGCCCATTTACAAATAATACACCAAAATGAATAAAAGTTTGGATACCAAAATGAAGATTTGTTCCAACTGACGCCGTGCCTTCTGTGTGCAAAGGTCCTTGTTTCTAGTCCATTCCCAGGCTCCAGTACAGGACACAATTGCAAAGGGAAGTGCTTCTAACAGTCATTTCTCTTCCTTTCCTGAACACCCAACTGTTGTGTCCACATCGTCACTGACTGAGTGAACACATTTCCTCTCTTGATCACGCTCGCTCTCTTACTGTAATCGGGGCCAGTACTGAGACATGTCAGGTTCACTTCCAGGAACTTGGACAGGGACTGACACTCCAGGGGAAATGAGTCCTGTAAATGAATTAAAAAAAAAAAAATACAACCACAGGGTAGACTCTAGAAGATGGCACACAGTGTGAACTTTCTAAAACTGCTGACACTTCGTAACACTTCTTTTCTACTTTATATTAAAAGAAAAACGTTCAATCATTAGAAAGAAAAGGAGACCTTTTGAAACTAGAGACTGTGTTCACACATACTTCATGAAACCCAAGTCAACCTCCCCAACATTTGGAAGTTCGTCAGTTCAGCCATCTCTGGAGGACTCATGTGGTACCTCCTCAGCCGGCATCAAGAAACTAGAAGATGTGTAAGTCTGCCAATAAGCACCCACATCAAGCTCAGTGGACCCTGTCAACTGTCCAGCTCAGGCCTAGATGTCTTCTGAAAATTTGATCTTGGGCCTTGTTTTCATACACGATTTCTGTGATCAATTCACCAACATAAATGATGTCTCTTTTGTCTCTATGGTGTCAGCTCACTAACTTAACTGAATTTCCCTTTTCAGTCAGTTTTCCCTAAAGGCAAGAGCAGTATCATGTTCAACCCACCCCTTAACGCAAGACCAAAAGTTTCTTTTCAAGTCAGCTACAGAACAGTACAGTTCATCAGCTGGCCAAAGAGGCCCAGTAGACCCCTCTGAACAGCTACAGAGAGCTCACCTGTTGAAGTGGTCCCCGAGGTACCCATGGGCTGACTGTTCATGTGTGTTTGCATGTGCGGAGGGGTGTAGGTATCATAACTCCGCCCATTTACCGAAGGGCTGGTGGGCAGCATGCAGGAGTACGAAGAGGTCTGGCTGGGAACTGGGGGCTGCCGGGAGAAAGAAAAACCTGTGATTACTGGAACCACACCACACAACCACATCCTGGGGTTCCTCCTCCCCAGGGCCTCTACCAATGAGCCTGGTCATTACTGATGCCTCTTTGGAATGTACTAGAATTCCATATAATGAGTCTAGGCTTGGTTCTTCATCATCATCCACCACCAGAGCAAAGTCGCCTGTGTGACGAATTTCTGAAATGTAGTAAATTCAAACAAAGGTCTGGTCTTGGCAATCTGCACTATGTTTTACCTCTGCTGGAGTTACTAGCATGAGAGATTCTCTCTTTCCATAAACCTGGATCTATTTGAGAATGCTAAGATCCCCAAATTCCATATTTCAACTGTGGGGCAGAAAGCAATGGGGGAACTCTTTGGAGAGTTTGATGGAGGGACCTTGGGAACCTTCCAGTGCTGGACTTAGAGGATTAGAGATTTTTTTTAAGACACAACCTGGAGTCATAATGGAGTGAGGTTAAAGAAGTCAAAAATGTCAGTGAATGAATGTAACTTCAATACAACCTGAGAATTAACTGACTTCTTAACTGACCCAAAAGTCCTGATTGAGTCTCATCCATAAAAGTGTGTTGCTGTCTTTTAAGCATTCAAAAATGGAAATGTTGAGGAGATAAATCTCTCTCAAAACTGAACAAGAAATAAAGGAATATGCAGACCCAGGATAAACCCCACATGGGAGCCCTCATGGGTTATTTGAGATGAGAAAACTCCTGAGGTGAGCCAATAGAAGCCTAGTGTCAGCAACAGCTGCTTTGCTCTGCAAATGCTTCACATCCCCAGACCCTCATTCTCAAAGACTGACACCCGCTGAAGGAAGTCCAGAGGAAGATGCCCAGTCTTTGTAAGACAGAGGATTTTGGTCAACAGGATGAAGCCATTGACAGAGAGACCACCCCTCCCCATTACAAAAAAAGGAATTTTCTCTGAACTGTAAAATCACAGATCATTTTTATTTTCTTTGTTTAATGAAGCCACTTACTTTTGTATCTGTACAATTTTTAAAAGTCCGTGTTTGAAATAAACTAACCCAACATATTTCTTTATATGTAGAAGCAAGCTTAATATAATTGGGCATCTATCTAATTTTTTCATTTTGTTTTTTCATGTGCACATTATGTCACCCTCACAGAAACCTAGATGTTGCTATAATATATAATACTGCACAATGCACTCAGTGGCCTCATTAAAGTCAGATGGTGACTGCTTATGTCAAGTTAAAAAAGGCAAGCAGGCCTAAAGGGCCCTGCCAGGATTTCAGCTTGCATTTGTTTCTTATTCCTACAATCACTTCCTCTAGGCAACCTGACTTCTGGAAAATTCCAAGATAGTTACAGCAACACTAACTAGTGGACTATTGGTCCCTTTGTTTACATCAATTGTACTATGGCCAATAAAAGCAAACGCAATAGAAAAGAAGCATGTGAATAAGTCCTCTAGAGTTGCCGATCTAGCTCTTCCAATATTAATCTGAAGACTGAGAAACTTTCATTTTAATTTGAATTCCAAACCTGGCAAAAAGATGTTCAATGGAGAATAAACAATCTGCGTAACCCCAGAACTGTTTCCAGCAGGGGCTCCTGCTGCCAGTCTCATACAATCAGGCCTATCTATCTATTGGTGGCACAATAGGAGACTTAGGAACACTGATGGAGAAGACCCATCAGAATCCCCCCAGCAAGAGTCCCCCCAGCAACAAAGGTCTAGTACATCCCAGAAGCATTGTACAGCTAACGTTAGAAAATGCCAGCTGAATCCAGGACTACCCCTAAGAGCACAGGCCAGGGTACTGAGAATGCCGTCAGCTTTCTAGGCAGCAAGGATTACCACCAACCTGTCACAGCATCTACAGCTGATACACATTAAATTTCAAGCAAACACTTTCTATTACATGTTTATTTTTAAATATAGAAAGAACTAGTTTCCTTCTTCTCGTAAATGTATTTCACCTGTGTAAAGAGGAATCTCACTTCTCAGTCCCCTTTTTTCTTTCTCACTAGTTTCTTACATGGAGCAAAAATAATCCTCAATATACTTCTGCTGATTCTGTATTTATTAATACAAACATACTAACATAAACACAAGTTTTTACACACGAACATCTTAGTTTCTTATGTTATGCCATCATTATTTCTGCTTTGTGGCACAAGCTTCATTGGTACCCAAAACAGACTTCACTGCCACCCAGAATTACCCAGCTAACATGATGATAAAAGGCACATTAACTTGGCTGAACAAATCGAGTGTTTGTTTTTCAAGGGCATGAATCAATCAATCAGGCAATCAATCAACTCGAAGAGATTGGATTGACTGTCTCAGAGTTGACTGGTCAAGCCAATCACTGTCACAGGAAGGACTCCCAAGGGGGTAAGCGCAGTGGATGGGGTCTGCAAGCCCTAACCCAGTCCTTGTCCTGTGCAGCAGGTGGCCAGCCTCTCTTACTTGCATAGGCAGGTTGTTTGCCATGGTGAAGCTGGGCATAGGTGGCAGAGCACTGTACGTGTTGGTGAGGGCGGTGTCTGTTCGGCCCAACATGGAGCCTGATGTGAAGGAGGAAACTGCAGAGAGAGAGAGAAAGAGAAAAGAGAGAAAGATGGAAGGTCATTTCAGGATGCGGGAGAGCCCAGGGCAAACAGATTTAAGAACATTTCTTGGCAGCTGGCATTTCAAGTTACCAGGCGTGGTGGGCTGTGGAATCGGCTGGTAGACACTGGTGCTGAAACTGCTGCTGATAGGGATGTGGCTAGGGGTGTTGCTGGCCTGTCTTCTCTGATTCCTCAGCTTTTCCTCTCTTCTCCATTTGGCCCTTCGATTAGAAAACCATACCTGGAAATGCGTGGAACAGGTTAGTTAGCCCTGTGCTCCCTACAGGCTCTGCCACAAACAAAAACCCCTCCATTTCCACCATCCTCTGTCCTAGGACAAGAGAGTCTTTGCAAACTGACCCTGTTACTAGCTATATAAATGATTGGTATACAGACAAGGCAAAGTATAAGACTCACAACGCATAAAGCCAACATAGTCCCTGGGTACCTGTATTCTGGCTTCAGGTAGATCGATTTTGGCTGCTAGTCTTTCCCGGGCAAACACATCTGGATAATGGGTCCTCTCAAACTCTGGAAGAGTGAGTTGATTTTATATGTTATTCCAGAACTACACAGAATATTTGAATGCCAGATCAAGCTGGCTTTTGCCAACCCACTCCCATCTCCTCCAAACAGTTTCCTTTCAAATAACTCTACAGTGTGTTGACTGTACTTGAGAGAACTCTCCCACCAGACTAAGTTAGGTTTTCTTTGGAATGACATTCAGTGAGTGTCACCATCTGTGACCTGAGACAGCCAGAACATCCTTTTCTTTGTATGTCAGAATTTTGATCTTTCAACTTCCGGGTATGTGAAAAGAAAGAGAATGTACATACACTTACACACCCTGAAAAGATGTCCAGAGGGGAGGGGGAAGACAGAAGAGGAAAGGGGGGGGGGGTTCAGACTTCTATGCAAAGGACCCGGGCTAAATTTCGCCCTTTGTGCTGTTGGTGTGGCATTTCCTTGGATTTAAGGCTTCTCGACTTTGAAGAATTCCCATCACCTTTCTCCAGAGCCTCAATCTGCTCTTGGGTAAAGGACGTTCTATTTCTCTGCAGCTTCCGCTTCAGCTGAAGCCTCATTTGAGCCTCATCCGAGTCTTCTCCATTTGAACTGATGGAGTTGGTGTTCTCTCCCCCGCCTTCCTGTTGCTGGCAACCATCTGCAACAAAAAGAGGAGGACAATAAGAGAGACTGGAGTGACATGGGGGCTCCTGATGGGACTTGGTACAGTTATGAACCCCAAGGACTGGCAGTCTGAGTCTCCACCGAGTCTTGCTGAAGTAATCAAGTGTTAGCCTTCCTTTAAGGACACTGGTACCTGAGTCGTTTTCCTTTCTGGATTTATCTAGATGAGACCTGACAGTACTCTCACAAAGCAGCATTTCTGAGAATGAAAAAGCAATCCAAAAAGTTTCCAGGCCAAACGATCTTCCTCTGCTGCCTCCTCACTTGCCTCCCCCAATTCCCTCTCCCTACAGAAAGTATTTACCTAGGGCTGTGTTGGGAAAATAGAGTGATGTGCAAGATTTCAGCTGATCTATAATCAGTAATTCCTATCTAATCAATTAGATGTTGATAGGTTTGTAGAAAATGCTATTAAGAAACCAAACCAAGCTTGTAATCTTTAAAAAAATATTTATCTAGTTTTTATTTGAATTCTGCACAGTCAATTTCATTTTAAAGGTTGTGAATTTAGAAGTGCTTGCATTGTTCTGCAGTTTTATTCAACCATTGTGTGAGTGTGTTTCGCCTTGACACCTATTACGAGCACAGCTGTAATTATATCATCACCAAGAACAGGCTATAATTGCTGAAAATGGAATTTTATATTTAGATAAAAGGACTGTCCATTCTTTGTAATGTGTTGCACCAGAGAAAAGTAAGATTTCTTTTAAATTTTTAACGTGTAATTTTAAAAAAGAAATCGTGGAGAGTTCACTAACTAGCTAACTATGCTGTGCTGCAGCTGAGTCCTTGGCATATCATTTAAGGGGTACATTTTTAATTAGGGCATTTCCACCACTTTTAATGTAATTTCTATCATTAAACAGGGAAAGTTTCATTGTTTTCCTTTGCGCTTGGTGGAGAGCTATGCACTTGGGCTAGCTGGCTCTAGCCGGTGCACCTTGCCTGCAAGGCGGCAAGCCTGTGAGAAGGGAAGGATCCCGGCCCTGGCTGGGCTTCCCAGGGCACTGGAGGCTGAATCTTGGGTCCCGAGGCCTGTGGCCCCTACGGGATACCAACAGGAACGGTCCCCCTCCCTATCCTAGAAACTTGGCCAGTTTGGGGGGAGGGGCTGCCAGGCCTCTGTGGGAATCGACTTGGCCAGGAATATCATTTATAACCAGGAGACAATGGGCAGCGCCTTCAAAGAGTTCAGGGAATTGTGACAGGATCTAGTGGGATCTTTTCAGGAACTTTGAAATGTTTTAAAACCCCAACTTTCTCCCCCATTTAAACAGGCGGATTCATCGGCACTGGCCACCATATGGGCCCTTGGAGATCTATTGAGATGACCACCAACACTTGAATAGCGAGGGGCTGCTTTTCAGCACCACACAATGCCCCGCGAGTAAGGGAAACTATTAAACTCCTGGGGCAGGAGCGTTGGCAAACTTTCGTGGGCAGAATTTTGAGGCCACAATGAGCGCGGACAACAAAAGGATTCTCTTGAGGCGTGCAGCGGGCCACATTGTGTTACAAGAAGCCCAGTCAACAGACTTTTCAGCGAAGTGTGTTAACCTCTCTGCTCTGCTATCATTAATCACTGTCCGGAGAGCGGGCGCCTCGGTGCTATTTAGGGCGCTTGGCTGGGCGGTGGTGGTGGATGGGGGGCCAGGGCAGGGGGTAGAGGGAGGTGGGGAGGGTGGATGGGGAGCAGAGCTGGGGCTGAGGGGAGGCGGAAGGAGAGAGGCTAAAGAGAGAGAGAGAGAGAGGAGGGAGGGAAGCAAGGGGAAGAATGGCGTGGGGGAAGGGCGGAGGGGGGGGGGTGCTTCAAAGAGATAATGGCCGAAAGGTATAAGAAGGGACAGCGGGGAAAATGTGGAGAGGAAAAAAAGAGATTGGAGGGTCGGGTGAGACGGGAGAAAACGACGAAAAGGAAGAGGAGGAGGGAGCGTGTATTGGTAAACAAGCCGCAGGCGTCCTGCCCTACATCAGATGAGTGGGGGAGGGGAGGGTCGCCTGCTGGAGGAGACACGCCGCCGCACTCACGTGTAGGGGCACAAGTGGCTGTACTAATTTGCTGCCCCAGGTCTCTGGAGGACTTTTCAAAGTGTTTTTTTCGGAGTGGGGTGGGGAATGAAGAGGGTCTGTCCCTTTTATTGTTGGATTCAGTGAAGGAGGCTTCCCCCCCCCCCCCCCCCACCAAGCTGTTTGGGTCTACCAGAAAAGTCCATGGTTACTGCTTTTGGAAAACAGAAGCACAATCTGGCCTGGTCACTCATGCCACCATCCAAAAGGAAAGCCCTGGACCCGCCCCTGTCCTTTCTCTAGCGTGTTATATCTTGCCAATTAAACAAAGCTGGAGGTCTCCTTCAGAAGACGCCTGCAGATAGCATTCTCTGTTCTCATCTGCTTCTTTGACGTCCTCCTAATTTTAAAGCGTCGGAATTATATTCATTGCCCTCCAAGCTCAGACACTGCTCATACACAAGCATGCACCGGAGATATAAGCCTAGGGCTTACACTGGCTTGGGAAGTGGTATTTAATGAGGAAATTAAGTGTATAGGAACAGGAAAACTGCCACTTTAAATCTTTTTTTCTCTTTTCATTTTTTTTTAAAGTGGAGTCAGAGTCAACAAGGAGAAAACGCTGCGGGATTCACCACGACCACCATTACATCTTAACCAAGCCAGAGAGCAACATTGGAAATGTGTTCACTGCTCTAAAATAGCAACTGTTTGCAGCCAGGTGATTGAGTGGTCACTTAGAGCTGGGTTTTTTTGTTTTTTGCTTTGTTTTGTTTTTCTTTTTTCTTTAGTGGCTTTACCTTCCACCCTTAAATCTTTTAAGAAACTAAAAATAGAAGTTAGAGCTTTCTAATTCCCCACAAGATAAACCTAAGTGGCAGACAATTAAGATATCTCCTTTAAAAGGCGCCCCCTCCTAGCGGCGTAAAGAAGGGACCTTCAATGGGCGCCGTACACCTCCCTGCCTAATCCGAGCTGAGAGTGAAAGCGCCTCCCATTATCCCAGCCCCAAGACCATCTGACGCAGGGGATAGGATTTGTTTCCTGGAAGAAGGAGAAGGGAGAGAGAGAGGGAGAGGGGGGGAAACAGAAAAGAAAGAAGAAGGGGAAAAAAGACGCTGGGAAATAAAATCATTCCTTAGTTTCTTAGGGTCTTAATCAGTGAGGCGGAAAATAAGCAAGAAAAGATAGCAACGCGGTTGCGGAACCTTTTCAGCTCTGGAGCGCGGATCAAAACATTGAACATCTGTTGAAAGGAGGCTGACTAAATCCTATAGAGGGCCTGGGTATTATGGGGGTTGGGGCGAGGGGAGGAGATGAGAAAAAGTGTCTTCGTGATCCCTAAAACCACCAAATCGCTGGAGAATTGGGGCTGGATAGAGTCGTCTCGTTATTGTCAGGCCACGTCGTCAGGATTTTATTCACCGCCGAGTGGCATAGATCAGATGGAAACCATATTTGTCTCCCTCAGAGACCTAACCTCTCCTTATGCTTCTGGAAAGGGACTCTTTACAACCCAAGATCAGCATCTTGGGCCGGGAAAGGGGGCCAGGGAGGGAGGGAGACCCTCTTAGCACCAAAAGGCCAGAGGAATCCCCAGGAACTTAAGCCTGGAGAACTGACATTCACCACCAGAGCCCGAGGTCCCCACGCCCAAGATTCTAAACTCCTTTCGAACCACGCTTCCACCCCACGCTGGAGGCGGGGCAGAGAGCCTAGAGGGAGAAAGCATTTAGATGGGGGTAAACAGGGTGGGTGGGTGGGACGCTCAGGAAGTGTATGGACCAGTATTCTCTAGTAACTAGCTGCATTAAGTTAAAAGACCCTGAACTAGCGCCACCTCTCGCCCCCAGTGGTCACCACCAGGCCCTTGCGGTTGGTCTGTAGCTCTGCTTGCTCCCAGGGTTGAAAATCTGTCCTAAGCGGGCGGGCGGCGCTACCTCTAGTGGAAGCTACTGCCCTGGACTTTAGTCTCGGCACCTAGAAACAGGAAAGGGATGTTCATTCCCTGGTCCCCAAGCAAATGTGAGCTCTAAACACCTAGGAGACCCAGGAGTGGAGGCTTCTGGGCTCAGCCTTCCTAGGTCTGAGCTTCTGGGCCTATTGCCTACAACTGAGACACCTTCGATCTAGTGGGTGGGGAAGAGGTCAACAGGACTCTGGAGTGCTGGGGGTGGAGAGTGGAAGGTCACCAGATGGAGTTCCAGCATCACTGGGATGTGACCTATGGGTATGCATGCGGGAATCCTACAGCTTCAAACGTCAGTCGGTGCGGGGGTTGGCTACATCTTTCCCTAGCCGGTCTTACTGGAGACTGCAGAGAGAGCCCTGGACCGGTTGGACTCTGATCTCCAACTCTGAAGGCTGCAGGTTCGAGGTTACGTGAGCGGGGTCACCCAAGGGAGTCTGGGCCTGCGCATCAGGAAGCCCGGCCCTGGCCAGAAGCCGCGGCGCTGGGAAACCAGAAAGGAGCGCTTTTCTCCCTATCGTCCCAGTGTCCGTCCTATATTGTTTTCTGCTCTTAAAACTGACATGTCTAATTGGCAATTGGTGCCGAATCGTGTCCAGAGGTCTCTTGTGGAACATTTCTACAGCTGTCTCCTTCAACTAGACGCTTATTCATGTCGCCTTAATGAGAAACAAAACGTTCTCTAATGAGCAATTACAGAGCGACAGGATTGTCCCCATAACAAATTCTTGCGAGTGACAGAAGCATCCTTTGTACAAGATATTTCGCATACTGTTACCGATTTTCCCTTCTCTAACCCGGCTCTGTGGAGGCGCCCTGCACGCGGGGCTGGTCCAAGAGCTCACCGATTCGCAGCAGCCCCTGAGCAGTCCCCGCGTCGCCCCCCGGCCCTGAGCCCCCAGGCTCTGTGGTGCTCCCGGGAGTGAGACGCCACGTCCCATTATCCCGCATATTATCTCCTTGTCACAAGGACAACAAATACCGATTAATCTTCGGAGTAAACTGTTTCCTGTTCTTGACCAAGTTACCTCGGTGTGAGTGGGAAGGAGCCGACTCACCCACTCCTCTTCCTACATCCTTCTCACAGAACCTGAGACAGGACGACATAGTTCCCATCTGTCCTCCCAGGCCCAGAGCCCCTCCCTGAACCTACAGTCGGGTACTCAGTTTCCCTACCCCACTTCTAACCAGTGCCACCCATAGAGAATAAGAACTGGGACCTACGGGGGCGGGGAGGGGGTAAGTTGTTAAACTTGGGGGAGGAGACCACCACTTAACAGTGGCGATCTTCAAATCCGGGATGCGCGTGGGGACGTCAGCCTCTCCTAACCTTACTCAAAGTCAAGTCATTTGTCAATTACTTCAGAAGCAAATGATACAATTATGTTTACCTTGCAGTCTGTCAGTGTGTTAACTTGTCCCACCTGCACGGCAAGTGGGCTCTACTGCATTTTAACACCAAATCTGAATAGGGCGCCACGAGGTTCGACCTTGTACATGCACAACCACCTAGCCGCTTCCTACCACTGTGGACATACATAACCCTCACAGTCAACAATATGGTTTCACATATTTCACACCAGTTACACGAAGTGTGAGTTGAGGTACCCAAGCCTTCCAGGGCAGTGCCCTCATATCTCCTAGGCACTGGGAGCCCAGGAAAGAGTTACAGGAGGATGGCTGCTTGAGTTTTACCTTGTGTAGGTTGCCCTGGTACTGAAGTCCCGGGATACCAACCAGGGCGCGTGCCCCAGCTTCCGGTCTGCCCGTTCAACATCCTTAGTTTATCATACATGCCGTCTGCGCCCATCTGTTGCTTTTCGCTAGCCAGGTTGCGAAGAACTCTGTTTATTGATGATACCTGCAAATCAAACCAAATGGTAGTGTCTCCGCAAGACACGGTCACCCCTTCTTAGGTCCCCCTCTCAGCTCTCCCAAGTTTTAAAGAATGACCCACCACACATGCAAAAGCTCCCAGCCACCCTGGGCTACTCTGGATTTTTAGTTATTATGTGGTAAAAAATGTCAACTTTCACTTTGTTCCTGGAAATGAAGATGGGTAAAGAGAAAGGAGCAATCCTTTACCTCTGAAGATATCACTAATGACCTAGCTCACTGGGTTGCTTGACTTTGTTCAAAGACTCCTGATAAAAGATTTCAACTTAATCTAGAGGTTTATTTTATTGTAGAGCATAAACGGATGCATGTTTCCTGAAAGAAGCTCCAGGCGTGTGCTTGAGTGGGGGGGGGGGCAGTTAGAATCTGGTTTTCATTTTCATTTTCCTCCTGGATTCCAGTGTCTCTCCCCAGTTCCTTCAAGCCCTGGTTGTCAGTATGCAAATGAAGTGAACAACTCCCCACACTTGACACCCATTTTCCGGATGGTCAAAAAGTCAAAGCACACCTCTCACTATCCCCTAGGTACCATGGAGACCCGTGCAAATCAGGAAAGAGAGGAGACAGCCAGACACTGGGAGGGAAAAGAGCGGGAGAGCAAGAAAGAGGTGACAGAGAGAGGGAGAGAGTGAGGAGCTTGGGGCAAGGAAGGCGAATGTTCACAATGAACTTACACTGGGTATGTTATCGTTGGTACAGACCCCCTCGGATAATAATCTGTCTCGGATTTCCCAAGCAAAGATGGACGGGCACTCCCGTTTATACTGGGCTATTTTGCTTACAACTTCTGGAGTCGCTACTCTTGGTTTACTACCTCCGATTGCCCTGGGTCTGATGGAGCCAGTCTCGTAATACCTGCCCAGAATTTTACTCACACATCCGTTGGACACCTGCATAGGGGAAGTGGACAGAAAACCACATTATTAATAATTTCAAGACAAAAATAAAATTGTTTAAGTATGCATTAAACAATGACAAGCTTACGTTTTCATTGTCCAGCACTTGGACTTTTGCATCTGCATGGGTCTATAACACAAAAATATACCTTCAATGGTACGAGAACTTACTGTAGAGAGCTTTCTTTCTTAAAATTACATTTGTAGCCCTAAAACTACAAATAGGAGGATACTTTTAAACACTTTGAATTATCTTAAAAGCTTTTAAAACTATTTTCCTAAACACTGTGTGAAGATGCATCAAAATAAAGTCAGGTTATTGTGTATGTGTGTGTGTGTGTGTGTGTGTGTGTGTGTGTGTGTGTGTGTGCAGAGCTTGCTTAAAGTAATATTATGTTGTAAAGAACAAAGGGAAAACTAACTGAATATTTTATCTTTTTCCTTTAAATGTTTGCCCAGTTGAGCAATGTGAGTTAGAGGAGTAAATAGCATTTGCTTTCTGAAAATCCATGTACATTCTTCATATGCATGAAAAATGCAAACAAATCTCCCAAAATCTGAGGTCAACACGGAATGGGGAGAGGGGAATGAGATTATCCCAATTTATATAACTCAGCTCATTACAGTTTTACACTGTTATCATAATGAATGTTTTTACTAAATGAAAAGATATATATATATTTTTTAATTCTCACACATATTTTCTTACGCAGATGAATTATCTTACGTAACTGACTGAGTGAGGTTGAAAGAGACAGGGACCATGGTGGAAGGAGAGGGGAAAGTCGGAAGGTAGGAGAGTTGGTGGGGATGAAGTGGGTGAGGGCAGGGGTCCATAATTAGTAGCGTTTACAGTAAGAAATGAAGAGAGGGCGGCCTCGGGGGCGGGGGGCGGGGGTAGGGGGCAGCGAGTGGGACAGCCACGGGAGGATCACCTGCAGAATTCGGGAAATGTCGCACGGCCGGGCCCCGCTGTGAGCTAGCTCTACGATCTTCTGCCTGGTGGAGTCCGGCAGTGGCCGCCCGTTGACAAAGACACCACCAAGCTGATTCACTCCGCTGTGACCTGAGGAAAGGAGGAGGAGAGGAGAGCAAGAAGAGAAGTAGTAGAAGGAAGAGGAGGAGGAGGAGGAGGAGGAGGAGGAGGAGGAGGAGGAGGAGGAGGAAGAAGAAGAAGAAGAAGAAGAAGAAGAAGAAGAAGAAGAAGAAGAAGAAGAAGAAGAAGAAGAGGCACAATGCAACCTCAGCTCCCTGCCAAACTGTGCGAACCTCAGCAATCAGGTCCTGATTTAAAATTAAAAAAAAAACAAAAACAAAAACAAAAAAAAACAACAACAAGACCACCAGCCATGCAGGGCATTGGGCAGCCCAGCTTTAATACAGACTGACCCTGCCCACTGGACTATCGTCAGACTGGGAAAATACCCAGAAACATATCCACCCAGTACCACCATCACCCCAGTCCCCTGAGTCCATTGCCCCCTTCATAAGCACTCCAGACCTGCTTGGAACCCACAAGGGGCATACAACAGCTCTTAAAATCTCCTCCCTACACATCACCTCTGAGTGCCACCACAGAGTCCACACTGGAGTCTCTGCCCTGTTAAAACAGCACTGCGAATCCCAAGCTCTGAAACGGCTAGGCAGCATATCATAAACCTTTGCATCGAGATTTAGCACCGTGTGTGTGTGTGTGTGTGTGTGTGTGTGTGTGTGTGTGTGTGTGTGTGTGTGTAATAATAGAAAAGAACCCGAAAGACAAATTTGTAGCTAGTGAGCCCCAATCCGTGCCTCCACAGCAGACAGGATTGGAAGCCCCCATCCCCACAGTGGTCAGCTTGCCCCCGCTGGTGAGCAAAGCCTGGAGTCTATGCACCCCCCACCACTGGCTTTACTTCCACTGCTGAACTCCACCCTCCCCCTCAGCCAAAGACACGAATATTAACAGAAACCCAAAACAGAAAGAAAAAGACCATATCACAGTGTCCCCCGTCCCTCTTTCAACTCCTGTCTGACAACCTCATCCCATTGTCTGGTCTTAGAGACCAGGGCGAGGGAAGGAGCGCCTCCCTGAATTATCCTCCTAGGAAACAACAGGCATACAAATAAAGCCAATCCCCTCTTTCCACTTCCTCAGACATCTCCAACCTGCAGCCCCGTCTCTAGACAGAAGCCCTCTCAGGAGAAGATGTGGTTCCAGCTCCTCTCTTCTCTCCTCTCTTCTCCTCTCTTCTCCTTGGAGCCTCCTGATAAATTGACTCCAAGAGCCTGTGCTTCTTAGCAATAAATAAGCTCCAAATATAGAAGAGGGGGGAAAATATGATGAGCCTCTCTGACATTTGTCTTTAAAATAAAACTAGCTGCACGTCAAGTTTGAGCTTAATTTCTGGAAATAGGCGGAAGTCGCTCCGGATCATGCATGGAAGGCTAATTGAAAAGATCAGTCGGGGCGCTTGTGGCAGCCTTGTCACTTTGTGACAGTGCTCCGCTCCGGGAAATTGCATCGTCACGACAAACGGGACCGTGATAAAACGACCCTTTCCGTCCCTATTTGTAGATCACTCAGACGAGAATGAACTGCACTCGTCTCCCCTTAGAGGGGAGCTGCGTTTTCAGGGTAGCCCGAGGCTTGAGGCTGGAGGGGGGTTATAGCTCACCGAGGGGGGGCGGGGCCTCAATTCGATGAGAAGTGACAGGCGTTTAGGGATCTGGGCTCCGGCCGGCCCGGGCCAGTGCAAGAGGGTACATTGCACATTGCAGAAGACAGTCGTTTCTCCAACCGGGCAAGGCCTACCCTGCGCTTCCGGTTTCTCTCAAATTTTCTTTAACTTCTACCTTGGTTTTCTAAGTCTCATTTACCACGCAGGTTATGGAGGCCCGTCTCTGGGCAAACCTTCCCAGAAAAAGAAAGGCCGTCTCAGAGAAATCAAGAGAAACTTTCCAACCAGAGCCAGGGTAATTCCCAATCTACAGATGCCAGAGCGTAGATTTTCCTCCTCCTCTATTGCAAAATATTGCAAAATAACGTGGCCAGCACCTCCACATCTGCAGCCCAGCATGTGCTGGTCCGAGAGACACTGGGCCAAGGCGCCTCAGCCAGCATCGAAATGGCAGCGAAGAAACATAGCTCTAAATTCCCCTTTAGAGGTTAAGCCTCAATCATTGTGTCCCTTCCCTAGGGACTGCTGGCGTTCTCGCCCAGTGGCGATGATTATGCGCCTAGAATTCGACCGCAAAGCTTCTAATAGGAAAACATATGGTGTCAATTTGGATGCTCCGCGCCTTGCGCACACTCGGGAACCAGCGGCACAAAGCCTGCAGGCCAACCCGCGACCCGTGCCCCTCTGGGCCTGCCAGCCAGGTCATAGCGGAGTGGCAAACGCTTGTGGATGAGCGCCTCGGCCCACCTGAAAACCGAAGGCTGGGGAGTCTGAGCTCCAGGGTATTCGCTTCGCCAAGGGAAGTGTCTCCCGGGCCAAGCCCTTGGGTCTAACAAGTTCTGCACAAACACAGCTGCAAAGCTCCCACCTTCGCTCCCTTTCCTCAGTTTAGCGCCCCCCGCCCCCCAGCTATTCCAGAGCATGGATCCGAGCTGCTGGGGATTCTCTCCAGCCAGTGCATTTCACAACCGCAGGTTTCTAGAAGACCTAGGCCTCTCTACGCCCAAGCATAGTTGCATCCTTAAGCCTGTGTAGACTCCCTAACCTTAACCCAGCCTAGTTTCACTGGCTGCCAGGCCTGACTTTTAGGTTTAACTCTGTCACATACCAGCAGCCATTGACTAAGCAGAAAGGTGGGGGCCCAAAGGGCCTGGCCAAAGATGAGAAGAGGGGCACAAAGGCTTGGAATCAAAGGTACCAGGAGTCTGGGTCAACCAGGACCCACGTAGCTGCACTTGCTGGTGCAAGTTTTCCCAATTCCTGACCCGCGCAGCCTCCACTCTCTTGCCGGACCCTGTAAACCCTTCCTTCTACTCGCTGTGCAGTTTACTTTCCCACCAGGGTACCAGCCCTGGGTGCTCCACTCCCCTTCCTTTCCAGGCCTGTAGCTAGGGTGGGGAGGGGAGGGGCTGGCCTGAGATGGACTAGGGGAGGGAAGCCCCCCACCCATTGGGGTCGGAGGAGATGTTTAGTCTTGGCCAAGCCCAAAGGGGCCTCCTTCTCTTCTCAGGAAGCCTTCGCCCCGCCCTGCTCAGCCCAGCCCCTCTCTCTGGGGTCAGAGCCCGGGCAGGGGCGGGGAGGGGGTATGAGTTACAGGATTTGGGGGGGGGGATGGGGTTTCTCCATCGCAGCTTCAAAAACTCGGGCGAGTAGTTTTGAAGGGCCCAGCCCCTTCCCTTCTGGAGCATAGTAGAGCAAACGCCTCCCTGCCCTCCCTCGCGGGCTACTTGGCACACACCGTGTGCAGTCCGGATAAATTCCCCAGGCCTCCTCCCTCCCGCCCAGTGGCCTGGACTCCCCAGGGCCCAAGACTCTGGGCGCTCCCCTAACCCACCGATCGGCACGCCTCCAGCCCAAAAGTCCAGCGAAAGACCCGAGACACTCACTGTTCTGCATGCTGGCGCTGGTTGGCGGCCTCCGGGTCCCACGGGGCTCGAATGCGGGGCTCTATTAGCAAAAAAAAAATTGGAGTTAATCCCGGGCTCTGCACAGGTAGGCCTGTACTCCTACTGAGGAAGACCTGGTGCCCGAACTGGAGAATCCTCCTTTTCTTAGAAATTGAGCTACTCAACCGCTTGGGGCGATCTGAGGGTCACCTAGCCCTGCCTTCCTAGACATGCAAAATGTACTTTGTGAGCTGCGAATAAAATCATCTAACATTCATAATCAGTTTTCCCAAATATTTTAGTAATTAGCCTTTTAATCGGAGGAAACAATGACCCGGTTTTTTTTCCCCACCTGTACTATGGTTTTTTAAAGACTCTTTCAGGGTTTGAAGCCCCAAAGAGCATCAGAGAACTTGCCTGAAAACCGGGCTATGTGTCCACTCTTAGAACAGAAGATCTCACACATCTGCTCGCCCCTAGTTAAAGTCTTCTGCCTGAGACAAAACAGAGGGAGAGAAAGGTATGTCAAACTGGCCCCAACACATAGCGTGACTGGTTGTCTGAGGCCCACTCTCAACCCAAAGTGAATCCAAGGCTAGCTCCTTCTGCCTAGAAACACTAAGACATCATACTTACAGTGGCCTCTCCCACAGAAATCCAGATCCTTCGGAAAATGCTACTTTGGTTAGGCTTGGCTTGGGGAATCTAGAGTTGTGGTCTCATCGGGGAAAGAGGGAAGGCTTAAAGAAAAGGAGCAGAGAGTGGAGTAGAAACAGCTGAGGGAGGAAGCTAACTAAGCCCCGAGTGTGGAGGTGAAGAGAATTTAAGGTCTTGGTGGTGCCTGAGGATGCGGGTCAGGGAAGTCTGGGTGAGTAAGCCTCAGACCAAACTCCCTCCCTTCCCAAGGAATTTCAGCACCTCAATTGTCCCAAGACCCCTAGAACTAAGTTCTTTATTCTTTTATCCTTCACTCCCCCCCACCCCCACCCCCAAAAGTCTTCCCAGTCAGACCCTCACAACCAGTCTCTCAGCTCTTTCGGGACTTAGCAAGTGGTGAGCCCAACTTTTTACCCTAAACCTCATTTATTGTAATTAACTTTGCTTTTAGTGTTTAGATCTTCCTCTCTTTTCCTGTACTGTGACACATGCTGTCTACCTCGCCTCACTGCTTTAAAAAGTACAAACAGGAGGGGGTGAACACGGTCGACAAAGTCTACAGACACCAAACAATGGCTTCTATTCTGCTGCTCTCCCCAAACCCAAAGAGCAAAGCCGAGAGACTCTCAGGCCAGCAACACCAGGTCCAAGGAAAGGAACCAGCAACCCTCCAACTCACAAAGGGAAAAGGGGGACTCTTCTCCCTGAAGTCCTGACTCACTCGAGCGCCCTTCAAGGCTTTCAGTCCACCCACCCTCCCTACCTTCCCTCAGAAAGGGGGTTCTGGGAAGAGAGGTGGGAAAAACAGTAAAGTAATTTCTTGTTATAAATATCTGGGGGTAATTGTGTTGCTGGTGTGAGTTGTTAGGGGCTGTAAAAAGATACAAGGGCACCGTGGGGAGCTCAATTGGGAAGGGAGAGTTACAATAAAGAGCCCATTCAAGAGGTTTGCCCAGGAAAAAAAAAAGAAGGGGGGGTTTAAAATAATGAAATAGTCACAGCATCATTTTTGTTTTATTTTAAGAAATTATTCTTTTTCCTCTTTTGGACTGTGATGATGATTGATCTTGCCACCCTATAAATAATTCCAAGAAATACATTTTTTTTCTCTTCAAGACCTTTTATGACCTAACTTTTAAATAACTGAGATGGCGACTTTTTCTCAGTGTCTGATTAGGACTGGACATAACAGAGGGCTAGATAACCCCAGTGGGGTTGGGTCTCCTAAAGCTTCTTCCCTGTCTCTAGGTCAGTTCCCGAATCCAAGATCATATCATGAACAGAAATCCCACCCAGAGCAAAATGTCCATCCTACCTATAGATAGGACTGAAGCTTGCAAAAGGCAGCAGGTGGATAGAGATGGGGTAGAATTCTGCTTGGACCAGTAAGTTCCTCTGTAACCACATTTTACACAGCCTCATGTCCCCATCCTGCCTGGGACCTCCTCGATGCCATTTTAGAAAATTGTCCAGCTGGTCCCTGAAAGAGCTAGCTGATTACTTTTCCAAGCAACTGGGAAGGTGATAGCATTTCAGGTTCCGGTTTTGCTTGGTTCCCACCCTTCTCTCGTCTAAGAAGCTATCTAATTACCTAAGTAATGGTGAACACTCAGTGCAAAAGCACCCTGGGAAGCAGGGCACACCCTGCACCCGGAAAGCAGTCCAGATCTTAGAGAAGCTAGACCCCTTTGCCTTAGCCCAAGCCCCCAGCCCAGGCCAGGGCTTTGTATTGCCCTGGAGGGGCTGTAGACCTGCATCAGGGCTGAAGGAGTCTCTAGAAATCTCCAAGGCCACAAGGTCTTGGTCCACATGTCCATTGGACCCCTGCCCTCCCCACTCCCTGACCCTAACACAAGCCAGAGCTTTCACAGTATGCTATTGTTTTAATTATTTAAATTTCAAAATCTATTCCCATATTCCTTAGCTGAAGTGTTAGGAGAAACTTGGTTTCTCCCGCTCCAGATTCCCCTCCTAGAAATTAGCAATTAGGATGACAAAGTTTACTCTCCAGAACTGAATGATAACAACTAATCAATTGCTTTCAAACATATGCAAAGATCGCCAGCAAACCCCTGTCAGTGACAACAACTATTCTTTCTCTTCGGTGAACTTGCTAGGCTTTCAAGCATTTTAGTTTTTCATTTCATTTTCTGCTCCTATCTCCTTCTCAACCCTTCCCAAGTTCGAGTTTACTGTCCAAAATGGCTTAGAAAAGTGTGTGTGTGTGTATGTGTGTGTGTGTGTGTGTGTGTGTGTGTGTGAGAGAGAGAGAGAGAGAGAGAGAGAGAGAGAGAGAGAGAGAGAGAGAGAGAGAGAGCTCACTTTGTTTTTAAACTTTTCAGAAAGCATCTTTAATGAAAGGCCAGGTTTTTTAGCACTCGAAAAAAGAAGGCTTCTCCACTTGAAATTCAAAGCCATTTCCCTCAATTACACTTGCTAAAATTCGAGGCTATTATGGCGCAGGGAGACTGAGGAAATCTGCCCCGGGAAAGAGGCAACAACTTTCTGAACTTTGAAAAGCCACTTTTCCTCCTGGGGTCTTAGAATCCAAAAGCTCTCGAATTACTCTCAGACTAATTAGCTGGGAGAGGACGTGATCCGACGAGAAGGAAAGCCAATGCTTTCATATAGATTTTTTTTTCTTTAGGCCACACAAAGAAAAAAAAAATCAGTACACTCGAAAGGGAGGAGCAAACCACCTTTCCAGCTCGAAACTTGTTGAAATGGCAACACCGGGTAGCGCTTAGTCAATGGAAGACATGGGAAAATACCCACCAAGAGCCGGAGGTGGGAGTCCACGGGGCAGGGAACACCCCAACTTTCGCAAGATAGAGTTGTGGGTAGCCGGGAGAGCTGAGGGTTTGTTTGCTTGCAAGTCCGAGCTCCGCGCTTGAGTGAGGCTGAAGGCGAGGGCCCTGGGGCTGGATGGAAGCTGGCAGTCCTAGGGATCGGCTCGGAGCTCCCTCGGAGAGCGCATCGGACCGCCTCGGCCTAGTGGCTTCCCTCACCGCTGTCGCTCGCTCCGGGTTTCTCGTGGCCTCCAGCGCGCGGCTGCGGTGCCCATCGAGTCCGGCTCCGGCTGGCGGCGGGCGCAATGACCCTTTGGCGCTGGACTGCCGCGGGCAGTCCTGTGCCCGGGAGGATCTTGCACAAAGCCGGAGCGCGGGCTGGCGGGAGGCGGTGCAGAAAGTCGGCTGGTTGGGCGCTCTCTGCGCGCTTGGCTCGGCCCCGGCTGGACAAAAGCATCGCCAGTGGCTGCTCTCCGCGGCCTGGGGCACAGCGGAGCCTCTCGGTCCTCTGCCGCTGACCGCGAGCTTTGGGAGACGCTGCGGCGGAGAGCTGCGGTTTGCGGGGGCGCCTGCAGCCGAGCTGCTTGCTCACCGAGAGCTCCAGCCGCACTGGCTCCGTCTGGTGCTGAGCCAGCCACCCGCCCGGAGCTCCGCGCCGCGGCGGCGGCTCGCGGACCGTCGCCCTCCGACGCGGACTTTCGCTGGAAGTAGAAAGTTTGGGCTCCTGCGTGGAAACTTCTCCGGCCCAACTCTCCCGGCGTAGCAGTGGGGGAGGGGACCGGCGAGAGGGGAGGAAAGAGGAGAGGCAGAGGGAGAAACCTGCCTGGGTATTGAAATGTAAAAGAAATCGAGAAGAAAGAAGCGGACTCACCTTTAAGAGGCATCCTCTCTCTCGTCGTTGTCAAAGCTCCTGTCAAGAGTTTGGTTTGGTTGGGCTTTTTTTTTTTTTTTTTTTTTTTGGGTTTTTGGTTTTTGTTGTTTCCCCCCTGTTGTCGCTTAAAGACCACAACGGTTTGAAATGATGGTATTTTAAAAGAGTTGCTCGTGAGAGTTTTCTCCACGGACGCTGCTGGGTTGGTGTGTGAGAGCAATTCTCAGATCCCTGGGAAGAAGACAGAGATTGACAATAAAATGGGCTGTCAGCGGCTGGAGAGTGAGAGATAAAGAGTGTGGGTGAGGGAAGTGGCTGCAGCCAGCACACCTATGCTGATTGGTGATGGCTCAAGTGTGTTAATGTGTGTGTGCCGGCGCCCGGCCTCGCCTCCACCGCTCCTCACTGGCCCATTAGCGAAGCCTGACCTCTGTCATCATCCTCCAGCAAAACACTTCCTCCTGCGCCTGAACCAGAGCGGGAAATGAGGCCGAGCCACGGTTCGCTTTTCAAACCCACTAATCACTCCGCAACATGCAAATGCACCGCTCGCTCCCACACAAAATATTGCTTTATGCAAAGCAGCGCCGGGGCCTCGCGCCAGCCGATTGGATGCTCCCTCTCCCTGCCTAGTGCAATTGGTCGGTTTGTTTGAATATGAATACACTTGTTTTCGGCTCTGCCGGTGGGTCCCGGCTTCTCTCTCTCCAGCGCTGGGCCCCCCGCTCCCAGGCTCGGGCGCTCGCCGAGGTCTCCCGCTCCACGCGCTTCGGCGGCCAGCGCTGCGGCCGCGAACTTGATCAGTCTAATGGAGGCCTCTGGGCTGGAAGTCACGCTCCCCCTGGTAACCCCAAGCTGGGCCAGGGGCTCCCAGCCCGTGGAGGTAGCAAGTTTTATCATCTCTACGAGGTCCTTTCTTGCCAGTGTACAGTGGCCTGCTGCTCCGCCCCCGTCCACCCTAACCTCCTACCCCTAACCCATCCCGGCCTTGGCCCCAGGACACAAAGTACAGCGCCGGCGGCTCTCTAGTCCACCTGGCCTTTAGCAGCAAGAGAAAAGAGGAGGGGGTGTCCCTGGATCCCAGCAGCCGCACTCCGGCGATGGTGGCACGGCAGCGATGCCTAGGCCTGAAGAAGGCCTCCAGGCCGAGAACTCAGCGAGGCCCGCGGTCTCCCCGGGCCAGGCCTCCCAAGCCTGCCCATTTCCCCACCCCACTCCTGCACCCCCTGGCCTTTTCTTCTCTCCTTTCTGCTTTCCGAAGCCACCGTGCTCCGCGGACGCACTGCCCCAGCCTGGAGAGGCCCGAGTAAACACGCCACTTACTTTGTGTACAGAGGAGTCTTGTGAAAAGCTCTGAAGAGTCCTCACCAAACACTCTCCAACTTCTCCCACGTGCCATTTGTTGACTAAGTGTGGCAGCTTTTTCCAGGCGGCCGAAAGGAGGGGAAGATAAGAAGGGAGGGGAGGTAGTGGAAGCCTGGGGGTGGGGGTGGGACTTGACCAATGCTGGGCGAGATTCTGCGAGTGTGTGTCCCCGCTGGCTTGCTTGGTACGTCAACGTGTGTCGGTGTAAGGAACCGGTTATCGGTGTGTGGTGCCTATGTATCCCCGCCAAGACTCCCTTTCTCTTGGGTCAGCTCAGTCCACGGAGGCAATTCCCCTTCAACTGTTGCCAGAAAACCGGCGAGGAAAGTAAGTAAATGGCTTTTCCCTTCTGACCACACACCAGAAGTCCATTTGTTGAATGCCGGACATTAGGATACACCTCAGTACACTCCAAAGACGTCCCTCGGAGACTGCAGTTTAGGTGACAGGGGAGTCTTGTCCCGCGCTGTCCCTCCGGAGCTCCCTCGCAGCCTGCGTGTTCTTGGAGCCGAGAAATATAAGGCCTGAGGTCCGGAAGCACTCAGGACCCAGCAAAAGGGGAGTGGGGTTGGAAACGCTGGGGCAAGGAGGCCGAAAGCCCCCCCTGAAGCCCTCGATTCTTCTGACGTAGGGCAAGAACCGAAAGCCAGCCTTCGGCAGTAGCCTGCCCACTCAGTTCATCTGCGGCAGGCCCGCGCTGCCGAATCCCCTTGGGAGTTGGAACCAGGTGGACGCTGCAGGCTGCCTCTGAGCCGGGTGGGAGCACCCTACTCAAGTCCTCGCCCGGGACCCAGCAGTGCAGCACCCAGGAACCTTAGCAGAATTCTGAGGACAGAAGAGGCCTTCCTTTACTCGAGCCTGAGGTGGGTTCGCACAACCCGCTCATCTCCTCGGCTTGAGGAAGGTGACTGGCTCGGTCCCTTCCAGAGGACCAAGGGCACTGGGTCCGGGCTGGGAGCAAACTCCGGCCAGAGGCTAAGAAGGTGGCGCTGATGCTGGGCAGGCGGCCTCTAGTGAGAGATTTCGTAGGAGCGCGACTTTCAGAGGATCCCAGGAAGTCCGGCCTGGAGTCTGGGTCCCAGAGCAGAGGAGTCTTCATTCTCCATTTCTCCCTTTTTACATCTCAAGCAAGCATTAAAGAAGCATAATGAAAAGTGGGGAGGGGGGGGTCCAGTGACTGTCCCAACTGGAGGCGGCGAATATCATTTTTACAACCTCTCAATTAGCAACCCGGTGGATTAGCACCCTCTTAAGCTTTGCCTAAGAAAGAAGCAGCCATAATCTTGTTGCTATTTCCCCCCAGGGCACTGGCTCTTTCAATCAGCTCCTTCTCCCACCCACCACCCCCACCTCACCTCGGAGAAAAGTTTTAACAACAACAACAAAAAAAAAAAAAAAATCAGAGGAGGCTAGAAGCCTGGAGTGAATGCGGCTTACGTCATTAAGTGGGGATGGGGGCTCCGAGTGGGACTCTTGGAAACTGCACAAACAAGAAAAGAAAGGACTTGGCTGCTTCTAGTGTGTCAATATTTGGGGAGGGGAGCTCAGGAACAGAAACAGGCAGACAGTTTCTGGAGTTTAAGGAGAAGGGTAAGAACCAGGAACGCTCTCTGTGGGTTAGTCTCAAAGAGCATGGAGGAGCTGTTTTGTCTTTGGTGGATCCTCATTTCTGCCAAGTACCTGCTGTGGGGACGACGAGAACTGGGAGGAGGAGAGCTAAAACCAGGGTGCAAGCCGTCCACAAAATTGAGACAACACTCAGGTCGCCATTTTAACTGCGGCTTCCAACACGTCGGAGGCCCATTCACTTTCCTCCAGCGCAGGGATGGATAGGCTGGCGAAGTTAGGCTTTAGGTTTTCTTCTCCCCCCCCCCCCTCCTTTCACCACTACTCTTTGCTTCTCTTTCCTCCACTCCACCCTCTAGCGCTCGCGGAGGGGACCTCTTTTCTGCTGGCAGGAGTGTTCCCGCAGGGGCCGCGCCGTGGTCCCACCGGGTAACAGAAAGCAGTTGGTGTGGAGGGAGTGGCGCTGGGGGGCATCGCGGCTTGCCCAACCGTATTCAGAACCTCTAGCCAACATGGAGGCCTAAGTGTGAGTCTTCCTCAGAATCTCACTCCCAATAGTCCCTGGCATTTGCCTGTGCCCACCGCCATCAGGTCTCCTTCCCGAGAGCGGCCCCTGGCGAGGCAAAGGAGTGCCCAGCTTCAGAACCACCAGTATTCCACTCGGTGTGCCGACATCCCCCCAAACTCCCGTTGTTTGACTGGTCCAAGCTGAGGTGTGGTGCTGGTACCCTGGGAAGGATGAAGATCCATTTCTTTGAAGGAGGAAAGTCTCAACAAACACCTGCAACGCTTTACAAAGCCCCAAACGTGTCTCTTTCTGCAGGCCCTGAAAGGTGGGTTCCATGGATTGCCTGGCTGGCAAGCAGGTTAAAGGGTCACAGAAAGCCAAGGCCTCCCGCCCTAGCCACCGAGTTCCTGCCTTCACTCTCTGCTTTCCCCAACAACCTGGCGGGAAAACCTCTCCCAGGCTAACCTAGCCAAGCCCAGAACAGTACAGGAGAGCCGAGAGCCGGCCCAGCGGCGCCTCCAAGCTGTGGCAGCGCTTGGCTGGAAAAAGTCACGGTGCCCTCGCCTTACTCGCCTCCTGCCAAATGATTAGTGCATCTGTGAGCTTTCTGGGTTCGGTCCTCTTCTATTCATATTGGGCAGCACCTCTTTTCCTCCACTTCCTTCCTCTCCTCACCCCCCAAATGCTTAAAAGCAGCCTTGTCCAGCCAGAGAGCATCCCAGCAAAGAGATTTCTTGCAGGCGGCGAGTTAACTCCCAAGCCTGCCTTCGGCCGCGCTTGTCTCGAAAGAAACTAGGTTCCAAGTTCCTAACGCATAGGGCACTCCAACTTTCCATCATTTTGGGATTTATTTTATTTTTTGGCTGATGGAGTGTCTAGAAAAGTTCCCTTTCTATTCCTCCAACCTGGGACATTCCTTCAAGTCTCCTCTACCTCTAGCCTCTGCACTAAAGAGGCAAGAGTGCAGCTTTAAAGGAAAAGCTAGCTAAGGCCACCTCAGTCACCTCTCTCTAAAGAACATCTCCAAACAGCTGCCTGTCTAAAGGCCTGGGACTGACTGGTGCAATTTGTTTTGTCCAGGAGCTGGAAACACACAGGCCCGGAGCTCGAGGGTTTTGAGTCTGGGAAGGAGAGAACCAAATGTCAGGGCTGGCTCCTGGCTCGCTCCAGCAGCCCGACGGAACTAAGCGCATCCTGACGGGCTTTTAAAATGACATTGATTGGGACAAGCTGTTTCCAACCCCAGTAAGAGTTAATCTCCCTGTTAATCAAGGCACTAAGGGGCTCAATGCGAGTTTTATTAGCGACTGGAGAACAGAGGCAGTAGCAAGGGATCAAAAACTGAGATCCCAGATATGTTGTCAGGGCACAGTCTTCAAAAAAAAATGTATTTTCAATTAGAGAACAGTTTGGGTCTTTTCATCATTTCGAACCCAGTCTCGCAGATGGTGACTAAAAAGCCTTGCTAGCAGGGAAAAACCTTTGGGGGTCGGTAGTCCGGGACAGAGGGATGGGGGGGGGGTTAAGGGCTGGTTGCTTCCGGGATCCGGGGTCCACCCGGGAGAGTGTGGAACCCTGAGCTCAGGGCCCTGAAACTAGCATTCCTCCCGAAAAGAAAGAGAAGGAAAAGTGAACCAACAAATAGTATCACCAATACTGGAACCCACCCCTCCAGGTCTGCCCACCGCTCCAGGCAGGAAGAGGGTCTGGCCCAGGCGCCACTGCCAGTACACCAGAAAGTTCTCTTGCAAAGATTCTTTCTCTCTCTCTCTCTCTCTCTCTCTCTCTCTCTCTCTCTCTCTCTCTCTCTCTCTCTTTCTCTCTCCACCCCCCCCCCCCCAGAAGCTGGATTCTCTTTGATTTTCCTTTCGAAATCTACAATAAATAAACTCCTGGGCATTGAAGAAATTTGAATACTAAGTCCTCCAATAATTCAAATGATACGAAGTCTGAGGGGGGGGGGGGAAAGACACGCCAATCGGATTTGTCCTCTGATCAAGGAGGGCACGGGAGTGAGACCGCAGCAGAGGAGGTCCCTGGCTCGCCCTGGGCGCGGGGCGAGGACTCTGGTCAGAGGTAATTATGTCACCGCGTTTTCTCGCCCTGACAGCCGAATAAACACAATCTCCAATAAACATCTCTAATGAGGGAGGAGGCCCGAGGATGGCTGGGTTTGATTTATGACTGGAGGAGAAGGTCCACTTCCTACTGCGAAGCGGGCAACCTGCTCACATTCAGCTCCCGGAAAAGGAACCCGCGGAGGAGAGGACCCCTGTCCAGGTAAGGTGCGCAGCCGGGTGGCTACTTTGCCTGTGGCATCGCTTGTAGGCAAGGCGCACAGAGGGGACTCTCTCAGAGTTCGGCGTGAATCCTAGGCACCTGTCACAGGTGCTTGAGATCCAGCTGAGCTGTAAAAGTGCCACCCGCAGGTCTAGAGGGAGGGCACCAGGAGCACGCCGCCGAGTGGTGTGGGAGAGCTCCAGGCCAGGCCTGCCCTAAGGCCTCGTCAAACTTTCCCGTGGGGTGCTCAGCCTGGGTATGCCGTATCGCTTAGGGCTTAGCTAGCTGCGTGATTTTCCAAGCGGGCAGAGAGACTCCTTAGTCTAAGTTTGGGGTAAACTCTTTCTTGACCACTTCGGGAAAGTTCCGGCCTTCCGGGAGCCAGAGCATGGCTGGGCACCTCTCTCTAGGGCACTCGCTCAGCGGCCGGCCGCTCTGCCCTGGAGGAGCCCACCCGCTTCCCGCCCAGACAGAGAGCTCAGCCCCGGCAGTAGCCCTCTCCCGGTAACCCGAGCCCGCGTTCTAGCTCAGTGAGAATCGCTAATTATTAGGTCTTCCGAAGGGAAGCTCAAATCACACGCTGGGGCCTTCGCGCGCTGCCCAGCTCTGGAAGGCCGCATTCTTTCGTCCTCTGCGCCTTTCGGGGGAAGCGAACCCCAGCGTCTCTGACTTCGTTAGGGAACACGCATCTACACATTGCAACCGCGGGGAAACTTTTGTCGCGCCTCGCCCGACCTTCCGCAGGGTGCTTCCACGAACCCGGCGCGAGGTTTAGTGGCTTCTCCAAGCGTGAATGTCGCTAATTGCCACGGAGGAAGGCGTGTTGCAAACTGCATGCCCACCGCCTGCTTTTCTTAGGATCTCAAGCGATTTCTTTAGACTGCAGCCACAGACACCCCCCGCCCCCCCCCCCCACATCACCCTCAGCTCAGGGCCAGACAGGAAGTCCACTCTTGAGATCACAACATTTTTGTTACTTTTATGAAAGAAGCGTGCTTCGCAGACACATCCCCCACCCCACCCTCGTCCCACTCCCAGTAACTCCCCTTCCATCTTTGCAAGCCTCGTTTTAAAAGAAAAAGAATCAAGCCCGAGGCCACTCGGGGAGGGCTTCTGCGACCTGAGGACACCGGTTGCGGGCAGCGGAGAGGGGCGCCGCCACCAGCGCCGTGGGTCCCAGCTAGAACTAGGGCGGTTACCTGCGAGGCGAGGGCGGGGTGGCAGGTGAGCCTGGTGCCGCCGGTTCCCACACTTCTCACAGCCGCTTCTCGGGGAAAGTAGCAGATCTGACAGCCGGGTTCTACGCGAGGACCTGCCCCAGAGTTTAAATGTCAATGATAAGAAAAGAGGGTGCTCCGGCAGGCGCTAACTTTCCTTAATATCCACGCCAGCGCGGTCCTCATTGGTTGCCGGGCGCGCGTGACGTCACGGCGGCCAGAGTTGGGTTCAGCTCTGCAGATTAGCTCTCCGGCCCGGCGGGAGCCTCCCTCTCTTTAGTCAGAGTCTGACTCGCTCCATCCCAAGAGTCTTTCCCGGGTCTGGCCGGTAACTGCAGACACGCTGCCTGCCTCTGGCTAGCATTGTCCTCCTTTAGGCTCACAATCAAGCCCCTCCCCCCTGCTCCCAAGTAAACAGGTCCAGCCAAGTGCTCGGGCCCTCCAGCACGCGGATCCCACGGTCCGTGCCTTTAGGCTAGTGAGTTATCTAAGAGACCCCCCTACCCTGACCCTAAGTTCTCTAGGGAGTCACTTCATCAGTGGGATGAAGACCACGCGGGGTCGAAAGGGACCTTTGGCAAGTTCTTTTCACTAGGAGGCCCAATGGGTAATCCCACCTGGCCCTCACTTCCAAAAGTCACCAGCCGGGCACAGACTGAGGCTCCAGTAGCAGACGAGCAAACTCGATCCCCAAACTGGACCAAATCTAGGCCTGTTGGCGTTTTTCCTGATGGAAGCCCCCAAAGCCAGCATGCTCGGGCTTCCCTGGCCTGCGGGACTGAAAAGCTCCATTCATGTAGAAAATGTAGATGATGGTATTTATCTTTGACTTGAGGGTTAACTGTTGACTTTGTGGCCTAGGGGGGCAAACGTGGGGACATGGGAGGTTCGGAGGTTAAGATTCTCTTTCCTCGTGCTGAGTGGACGAAGAAATTGGGGCAAGGTCAGCCGGATACTGATCCTGTGGTCTTCACACCCTCTGTGGAACTGAAGACGGCTTAGATTTGCTAAGCCTGTCCAGCTTGGACTAGATAGCTACACCTGCATCGACATTCCTGCCCTTTCGCCCTCAGGGGCTTCTCAGCTTTCAGTCTCCTCCCTCTTCTGCTTGCTTTAAGTCTGGAGTTTGGGAGTGATTGAGAGATCCTGCCTGGAACGGGGGTGGGGTGGGGTGGGGGAAGCTCTTGAGGAGGTGGTGGAAGAAGGCAACGGGCCTGGAACTGCCTTCAGGCAACTTTTGGGAGACAGCCAGGGTGGACCAGGGTATGCACGTGTTGAGACCAGGAGTTGAGCACTTGGACGCCTGGAAGGTCCCAGGGCCGGAACCTGCATGCCTTGGCCGGATGAGGGCGGTGAAGGGAGAGAGCCTTGTGTGAAAGGCACCAGGGTGCGTGCTCTCTCTCAAAGTTCTTGCTCCGCCCCCAACAAACCTGGACGTGTAGTGTAGGACTTTGTAACAGGCCCAGGTCGGCTCTAGGCACCCCTCTGACTCGTTCCTTCAGATTTGGCCAGCTATCAGCCAGACTCCTCCTCCTCCTCCTCTTCCTCCTCCTCCTCCTCCTCCTCCTCCTCCTCCTCCTCCTCCTCCTCCTCCTCCTCCTCCTCTCAACCTTCTTGAGTGCATCCCGCCTGGAGGTCTGGTTATGTGGAAAAGGAGAAAGGGAGTATGCTGGAGAGGTCCCAATGGACTTATTCTTATTTACAAAAGCCTTCCATTCTTCCTTTCTCCAGCCCAAGAGCATTTACTCCCTTCGAGGCACTGTAGTGTGGGCCTAGATTCTAGCCTGTTCCAGTCATCCCGCGAATCCTGATAGTTTGGAAAGGGATGTTGAAACTTTTGCTCTGCTTTTTTTTTTTTTTTTTTTTTTTTTTTTTTTTTTTTTTTTTTTTTTTGCCGCCACTGACCATCCCCTAAGACCCAGTTTCTCGGTAAACCTCTAGCTTCAAGCAAGAACCTGGTCCAGTCCTGTCCTCAAATGGCTTGTAGTCCCTTCTATTCCACCATCTGCCTTGTGGAGTGGGCGACCGGTGGGCCCTGGGGCTGGGATAGGCCTTCCCAGCTTCTCAGTGTCTGCCCGAGGCTTTTCACCCACCCCTTGTCACGACCGGAGGTTGCGGCGAAGGCTGCTGGAGCTTGTTTGGAGCCATTAAGCGTGCGCGGATCCCTGCAACCCAGCAGGGTGCTCAAGAGCGTAGCTGGAAACGCCACAGCCTTCGCTAGCTTATCTAGCTGTCTGTCAATAAAGGGCGCTAGGGCCGGGTGTGAGCGCGGGTGGTGGAGGCGAGGCCAGACCTTGGCCCTCCCAAGCTCCGGGCCAACGCAGAAGCTGCTCTCCATTTGCCCCGGGAACACACTGAAGGCTGGGAGAGAGGAAGCAGGCATTGTGATCTCCACCCGATAAGGGTGTCCGTGTAACCACAAACCTGAGTCTGGTTCTCCAGGTAGCTGTCGACCTTACAGAACTCTGGCTACCCGACCAGAAGTCTGAGGCACTGGGAGAGAGGGGAGGTGTTGGAGCCTCTCCTTAGTGCCAGGGACTCGCTTTGGGAACAGCCTGGTCGCCTCCAAAGATTGCTCAGGTTTCAGCCTTGCCTCTTTTGGACTCACAGCATCTCTAGGCCGCACGGGCCTGGTCCAAGGGGCATTAAGGGCAGCCTGGCAGCGTGGTGAAGAACTTGTAACCCTGAGAAAGCTGAGTGTTACTCGAGGCAGGCTATAGGTGGGGTGAAAAGAGAAAGAAACCTTTTCTCCCAGGTTTCCCCTTGTCCTTTCCCTACACTTGGTTGGGGTGATCCCAAGCTCTGTTTCTCCATGGCAGCTTTGATTGCCTGTAGGCGGCAGGTGGTCACAAGTCTGTGGCCCACCCCTCCCTGGGAGCCCGGAGCTTCCCTTCTAACTAGTTGTAGGGGGGTGGAGGGTAGAATGGGGTGAAGAGCAGAGTGGAGAGTGGTAAGGAGGGAAGGAGACAGAGAGAGAGAGAGAGAGAGAGAGAGAGAGAGAGAGAGAGAGAGAGAGAGAGAGAGAGAGAGAGAGAGTCTCTTCATAGTCTTGAACTATAGCTAAGACCTGTTGTTGTCCAATACACCTGGCTCGGCCACCCCTCCCTGTCCATTTCTGACTCTTTAACTACTCTATGAAAATAAAGCATCTTCTGGTTTGGTACAGCCCCATCTACTGGATCTGGACTGCAGGATAATCATTTGTCTTTTCATTGAGAATATCTCTTAAAAAAAATTGAAAAGTATAAACAGCTTTCCCCCCTCATTTAAATATTTCAGTTTTCCTTTACTAAGTCTGGGTCACAATTCATCCTGATAAGTTCTATCTTTAAAGAATAGTATTCCAGGGTGGGTCTAACCCATAAGACTGGTTTCATAAAGATCTCCCAGTATAGAAAGTAAAAGGGCAGAGAAATGTCCACACATCATTGAAAAAATTCTGTGTCTACTTGCAGGTCATTTCAAATATCTATACAAACCAACCAGAACCCTGGTCGCTGAAGCAATCGAATTAAGTGGACACTGCCTGTTTCCTGCCCCTCTTACCCTCCCCTTTAAACAGCGAGCGTGTTCTAACAAGATTTTTATTTTAAGTCAAAGTGGGAGGAATATTTTGTGAATTCAAGCATCAAACAGGGGGATATTTAGCAAAGATAATATTTGCCCCTTCTTTACCCTGGTCTAAAGGACTGCATAATGTCCTGATTATGCGCGATTTTGTGGTTTCTGTGCCATTCAATTATTTTCATGCTTTCATACAAAGAGATGCCTCAGTTAGCTGCC